GTGTGCATCAACGTTTGCTTAACTTGAAAAACTTATTATGATAAGCAAGAGTTGTTCTACTTTATTCACTTCTCAGGGTATGAACATGACAAACACTTCCCCTGTGGTGGTACCAACCAAAGCAGCTAAGGTAACTTTACCTTTACTCGCAGTATGAAAATCATTGCGGATTCCTGACCAGGCCATTAATTGAAATTTAAGGATAAATAAGTTGGCTGTTTCTTTCGTTATTTCGTACGCGTGGTGAATCAGTCTTTGTTAATTTTCATTACAGCCATCCATTGGAACAAACCCGTTGTCAGTTGCTGCCCCAGGGAAGGATGGGGACAGTTTCCTCCTGGACATGGCCGTGTCAGCAGTGGCATATGGCAAGGTAAAGATGACTAAATAGATGGACGGAAAGAAAGACAGACAGGCATACAGGCAGAATGACAGACAGGCAGACAGACAGACAGACAGATAGACCGATAGACAGATGGACAAATGGACAGGTAGACAGATAGGTAGATAGAAGGACAGTCAGATAGTTAGACAGACAAAGATAGACAGACAAGCACATAGACAGACAGACAGACAGATAGACAGACAGGCCGACGAACAAACAGACAGATAGACAAACGAACAGAGAGATAGATTGATGGACAGATAGACAGACAAACGGATGAACAGTTAGATAGACGAATGGATGGATAGTTAGACAGACGGAAACATAGACAGACAGATGGACAGACAGAAAGATGGACAGGCTGACATATGGACAGACAGACAGACATGGAAAGGCAGACAGATAGACAGGTGGACAGACAAACGGATCGACATTTAGACAGACGGACACAGAGACAGACAGGTGGACAGATAGGCAGATGGACAGACTGACAGATAGACGTGCGACAGACAGACAGACAGACAGACAGACAGACAGACAAAACGGACACAGACGGAAGCAAAAATAGAACGAAGCAAAGTGTCAGCATTGCTGGTGATTATAAGCTTTTTTCAAGGCGTGTGATGTACTGAATCTTAATTCATTTTTCCCCTTATTTCGTTTCAGCTTGAACTATGCCGTTTAAAAGGAACTGAAATGCCACAGGGGTGGGGTGTGGACTCGAAAGGATCGGTAAGAGATCACGTTTTAAAAATGGCACATACACTTCTTGATGAAGATATGACTTTCCAAGAGCTTTCATATTGGTTTTCTTGGAACACGCACAGTCACCGTAATCGCCCATAAGAGAAGATGTGGTCTCTTGTCGCCCCATTAAAAACATCGGGTCTGAAAAGCCCCCTGTTTAAGACTTTAAATGGCTAAATGGTATTTAAAATTGAAGACCCACAAACCACACTGTGGCTAGGCTCGAAAAAAAGCCGCTCTGCGGAAAATGAACCACGCTCCTCCCCACAGATGGCGAGAATCAGACCAGTTTCCCCCAAATAAGGGAGTTTCCTCCAAGGGTGTCGTACCTTTCTCCGCTTTAATAACAGGCTAAAGCTTGATACGCCACCTTCCTAAGTTTGTTACGAAAGTCCATCTAGTTACGGTGTTGAAAAAAAAAGCTGTATCTGTTTTTTAGGAAACTGTTGATCCTGAAAAGGCGATAAAAGAGGGTGGATTACTGCCTCTGGGAGGAAAGGAAATTACAGGTGACTCAAACGCTAAATTTAACCAGCTTTAAAAAAAGTTTTTAGATTTTTGTTCCTTTTTTATGCTTACAGGTAGACAGAACTTTAGCAACGGAGGCAATTTTTTGGCTGCTGAACCTAATAGTCTGTCTTTGAATTACCATCTGGCAAATATTGGGTCTACATTTTTCAATTTTTCATTTCTAATTGGCTTTCCTGTTGCCATTTTGGTGTTAACTATCTTAAGAGATTAACATTCTCTCGTTTCTCTCTCCTGTAGGGAATTACAAACGTCTCATAAAAGTGACTATAAGTAGACGATAAAGTCCCTTGTAAGGCTCCGTGTCTTAATTCAATCTCTCTTCTTTATCGAAATCCACCAAGCAGAAAGAGTAGTGCCCGTCCTGACGCCACTCTACAGAAAACAACAGTTAACCCTTTGACCCTTTAACCCCTAAGACTGACTAAAATTTGATTTCTCCTTACAATACCACCTCTGAGTTACACTTCGAGCTCACGAGAATAAAGGAAATGATCACCAACTAAAGAAGCTCTTGATTTTTAAACAAGTTCTCCCTCTTCTTGGGGGCGTAAAGGGTTAACTCTCAGAGGTGATTAATATGTAATTTCTTCCAATGATATCCATACATTATTCAGAAAAGGTAATGAGAATACTCAAACTGATCAAGTTTAAGTTGTTTTCTTGATCTAACACCAAATTCTCACAACTAATTTATAACGAAATGTGTAGCAGTTAGAGAGGAGAATTAATAATCAGATCTTGGGAGTTAACGGGTTAAAACCTGATCCGTCCTTTCTTCTTGCAACCCGTTTTGACGATGTATGAAGATCAAGGGACACATTTTCCATTGCATACATTTTTTTTTTTAATTTTCAGGTGGTTATAAAGGTTTTGGATTAGCCATGATGGTGGATGTGTTCTGTGGGATTTTATCGGGATCTGAATTTGGGACGAACATCAAACGCTGGCAAGGAGAGGAAGAAAGAGTGCAAAATTTGGTAACAATTTGAAATTGATTTCAGCTTGCCTTTGAATCTCTCAAGTGAGGTTCATATGTGTTCCTTTTTTTTTCCTACGACAGGGTCAGTGTTTTGTAGCAATAAATCCTAAAGTTTATGCTGACGGATTTGAGGATCGAATGCAAACTTTGATGGATCAGTACAGAAATTTAGAACCGGTCAGTATGTGATATGTGGTATTGACAGGCATGATGGAAGAGGAAATAAAATGCAAGACACCAGAGAAGGGGAGGGGGGGGTTAATCACACATACGGACAGACATGCATAAGGACATACAGACACACAGACCGACTGACCGACAGGTAGACAGACGGACCCAGTAAAGTAGACCAAAAGGCACAGACATGGAGACAGACAGACGGATGGACGAACGTACATACAAATACGTGCATACGTCAGACGGATAAACTGACAGTAAGACAAGCCGAATATTGTGGATGCAATATGTGATATTGAAAGTTGTGAACTGAACAAGTAAACAGAAAACGGCATATAGGCCTCAGTTGGTCAGGCAGACAGACAGACCAATAGAAAGACAGACAGTGAGTCTTTTCATACTAAATGTATTAGTAAGTTAACGCTAAAAGACAAACATACTGCTGAAAGGCAAACTGAGGCAGTCATGTAGAGAGATAAAAGTCAGACCAGCGGAGAGACAGACTGATGGGTAAACTCGCACATAGACAGGGAGACAGGTGTAACGAAGAAAGGTAGATATCAGAATACAGAGAGATAATCAAACAGACAGACAGTCAAACAGGCGAACAGACAGACAAAAAGACAGGCAGACAGACTAATCAACAAACCGACAGACAGGCTGGCAGGTAAACGAACAGACTAACAAACCGAAAGACAGACAGATAGACAGACAGGTAGAAAGACCGATAGACAAACAAACCAACGGACCGACAGACGGACAGACCAACAGACAGAGAGACTGACAGACTGACAGATAGATAGACCCGCAAAATTGGGGTGTTGAAGAGGTAAGACTGTGTCAGACAGATGAATTTGACTACTTTCTGTAGCCTAGGCCGTGCACTTGTGGTCTCTTTAGAAACGATCCTTTGATATGATTATCTGTGTTTGTTTGTTTTTTTTCTAAGGCTGAAGGCGAGACCGCGGTACTTGTTGCCGGCGATCCTGAAAGAGAACACATGCGCAAAGTTCGTCAAGACGGCGCCATTCATTATCACGTTAACCTGTTACAAAATATGGTTTGTAGTGTCAGATTTTTAGTATTTAGCCCTTTTATGTCCAGGTTACCTCTAGGAGTGAGTAGCATTTAATTTCTCTTTACGACATGAATCAAACATTAAAGTTTCGAGAATAGCGTAAAGATCGCCAACTGAAGAAGCTGTTGATCATTAAAAAGGTCGCATTTCATACCTTCCCCCTCAAGTGCTCACGGTGGTAGGAAGAAGAGAGACCTTAAGGAAGGCTTTGGAAAGAAGACTTGTATTTTTCATTTGAGCCGATACAACTTTTAAATGTTTTACTGTGCGTTTGACTTCGAAGGTTCTCGCCTCTAACAATACTCCGATTGAAAAAAAAGAACGTTTTTTCCAGCCCTTGCTAATTTCTTCTATTGGTTAGCACAAGGGAGCTAATTTACAGATTTTTGTTCGGTCGCTAAGGTTGGCAAGAGAGCGAGGAAATAATGAAATATCTTAATAATGAATAGTAACAGAAAATTAATGTGTGTTGGTTTTTTTTTTTTTTTTGTAGGATCAAATTGCTGATAGGTTAGGTGTGGAACATTTACCAACGTTGTAGAGGCCTTACTTGGTCCCAGTTCACACGCAGAATGAAGGAAAATAAGACATCTTCAGTGACGTTCATCTCTAACTAGAAGTAAAATGTAGAGATTAGGAACTAGTTACCAGAAAGAGACCAAAACTAGACCCAGAAAAATGTTCTCTAAGATGGCGAAAAACTGTCAGAAATATCAATAGATATTAAAACAGTGATCCTATTGTAGAGCGTCTCAATGGAGTGATGGTTTTTACGGCTAACGGATAAAAATTTTGGCCATGCTACCTACGGTTAACCCAAAAATGGCTCAAGATGAGACATTGCAGGAAAGCAAAATTCAGAGGTTGATCGTCAAATAAAGAAGAATTCTATTCATCTGGACCCTGCTTTGTTTGTGGATTGATTTTGATGAAGCCAATAGGATAAATTAGAATAATCAAGCAAATGAATAAATGAAGATCGAGAACGAGGAAAGGCGCGGAACCTCGAAGGTTTTCCCATTTTTATTGTCTCCCTCGCTAAATTGACCAGCGGTATCACGGGGGACTTGGTATCCGCGCCTTTTATCAAATGTCCTTGGCAACGAAACAAACTCCACAAGAAACCGTGTTCTGTATTGTGGGCTGTTTACTACAGCATTTTCATTCTTTTTAACGATATCTGGAGTCGCCTTTCAAGTGTCATCGAAGCTTCCAAATTTTTTTTAAAGCGCTGCAGAAGCTTGATTTGGATTTATTTGGTTCAATTGCAAGCGTAACTTAAATCTCACATCAACAATGTCGATCGCGGTAGCTACTCCGCGACATTGTTTTGGCCTCAAGGCCGATGTTGCTGATAATATTTGCTATCTGGATGAACAAACGATCATTTACCCGTCTGGATCGAACTGCATTTTGTTCAACATTGACCAGAAATCACAACGGTTCATACCTGGAACAGATAAAAGCGCTGGAATGACATCCATGGCTGTTAGTCCAAATCGAAGGTACGTCGCCATCGCGGAGAAAGGGGAGAAAGCTACCATAACTATTTACGATCTGAACACGTTGAGAAAGAAGAAAGTGCTCAGTTCTACAGAGGTTCAATCTAACGAGTTTGTCAGCTTGGCTTTCTCGCCAGATTCTAAATATCTTGTGTCTCAAGGAGGAAGACCCGACTGGACATTGCTTTATTGGACCTGGGAGAAGGCGAAAGTGATGGCTGTTACAAAATCTACCAATCAGATGAACTCACCTGTTTATCAGGTAAATAAATAGTACTGGAATTCTCTTTTAAAATGTAATATCTTTCTTCTGATTGAGCGGAAAGGAAAACTGCACTCCCGTCAAAGCTTTTTGAGACAAATGTCGAGATTTAGAACTTGCTTATTTGCGACAATACTTAAATCCTGTGAAAATGCTCCCTCTTTCCCCTTCATCTCTGTCACACAATTATTGCCGTCTGAAAATGAGGGAAAGGAGTAGAGATAATCAAACTAGTTTGATTGTTTGGGTGGAAAATGAATTAAATACTAAAAAGTAAACAGACACCTTACTTTAAGTTGACAATTGCACGAGTTCTGGTGTATAAAATTCTTACGAACGATCTCACTGTATGTATTTATCACAGTGTTATTAGTTGAGGAAGTATTTTACTTGAAGGTAATTATTTATAGATAGATATCAACCAGGAGAAGATGCTTTCAGTATTTTCATTGTACTGTACATTTTTTCCACTTACATGCACATAAAATTAGGTAAAAAAAATTGGTTGAACCTTGTGTAACACTTGTGTCCTAAATGAACCCAGTGAAGGTGTATAAATGACTCTTTTCTCTAAATTTCCTAGTGGCTAATTGTTAGAATATTGAATATTTGAAGTATTCTTTATTGTGGGCATGATTTTAGTCCATCGAGGAACTACACTATTTTCAGTGATTTTCTACTGTGTACAAAGTTACACTATTGAAAATCACCAAAATGAGTGTAACCCTGTTATCCCCAGAATTGATTAAGTTGTAGCTTCTCCCTGTAATTCCAATATGTTCCCTAATGCAAACAAGTTAAGAGAATATTCAAGTTTATCAGTAAGAGGGTGTTGTGTGGTTATAATACAAAATTCTCCTGTCTTATTCACAAGGATCTGTTCAGCAGTCAGTTGGGAGAAATACTGATTAGGTCTTGGGACTTACATAATCAACCAAGAACTGCAGCTGTGGATGATTAGGGATGAAGAAGATTTTTATGTATTTCAAATGACCAACTTGATGTAGCCCAATGAGGAAATTCTTTTTTTTTTTTTTGTTTTTGTTTTTTTGTTTCATACTTTAAGCCCCACATTTATGGTGAATTTACCCTTAAACACCAAAGAGCAATAAGCATCTAATTTCTCCCAACAGCATCATGCTGTAACAAAAATGGTCGCAAACATAAGAAGCTCTTGGTTGTTGGACAAATTGTCCCTGTATGTACGATGATGATAGGGAGTGCATAGGGAACATATTGATGTTAGGGTGTAAAGGGTTAATTTATAATAAAATCTTCCTTCGGGTGGTTTTGAATTATTTGTATTGAAAACCCTTGTAATTTCACTTTTGCTGTTTTTTTTTTTCTTTTTTAGGTGACATTTAATCCTCAGGATAACACTCAGCTATGTGTGGTAGGGAATGGAATCTTCAAGTTGTTTCGTTACAGTGAGGGTAATCTTAAACAGTTTGCTTTCCAGAAAATGGAGCCACAAAACTTCCTCTGCCAGGCATGGGTGTCAGATGAAAGAATTATAGCTGGAACAGATAGTGGAAGACTTCTGTTGTTTGAATCAGGAGAACTGAAGAGTGAATTTCATGTTGGTGGAGGTGGGGCAAATGCTTCTGCTCCCACAAGGTATGAATCAGTTATTGACATCAAAAGAGTGCAAAAAAGCAAAAGGGTCAAGGTTTGAACCCTGGATGTTGTCATTGTATTGTTTTCTTGGGCTCAGAACTGACAGTTCTTGTAACCCTTTTAGACCACTGTGTAGTGGAGTGTGGTACTGTGAGATGAAAGTGTCTTTGCCCAAGAATATAATACAATGAGCCTGTTAGGTCTTGAACCTGGACTTCTTGACCCAGACTCTACTGTCTTTATTGTAACGCCATTGCGTTTTCCACCCAACAAATATCAGGATTTACTTTTATTAATTAAAGCAGTACTTTATGGGATTTCCACCATTAACAAGAAATGCAGCCTAAACATACAACTATTAGAAAGTGCTATTTTTATATTTAGATAAATTATTTGAACGCATAATTGACAAAAAGATTTACATAAAGCTTTATAGCCTCTTACTGTCTCAAACACCCTTTTCCACTTTGTTAACTCACTGACTTAACTATGAATGTGGAAGAGATCATTGCAGCAATGAATACTTCTTATGCTTCCATATTCATTTCTTCATCTGCAGTTTATATAATTATATGATTTTCATATATTTACAGTTATTTGACTAAACTGTATAAATATTTTCAATGGCTTGCAAGGCTGAGACCCCCTTGAATTCAAGAAGGGGGCCCACTTGACCTTTTTTGGCCAACTTCTAGAATAAACCTTTGAATTCATTTTAATGATATTTTTTCAGGCAAAGTATGGCCAGTGTACCTGAAAGTGGTGTAAGCCAGGATACTCCTCCACAAGTCACATGCATTATTGCATTTTCGAAAGGCTTCATCTGTTCAGGGGGAGCGGGGACAGTACACCTCTTTGAGAAAACTGAGGAAAAAGACTTCTACAAGAAGGCCAGAGAGATTAAGATTCCTGTCGACACGCAGAGTCCAGATCCACAACTATTAGAGAATCAAGAGATTGTCAATCTTACTGTGAGCCCATCAGAGGAAACTCTTGTCTGCAGCACCAAGACAAGTCAGCTGTACTGTATCACCATGTCCACTGCTGATCTTGGGAAGGTAAAGAAAAAAGGGCAAATCGAAACAACTGTCTATAGTAGAGAAAATGTCTTTTGTCTTGTCATGAGTGTGAAACAAAGAAAAATGTCTGAGTCCCCCAAGGAATCTAAGATCTTCAGATTTCAATCTGATACTCCTCAAACTGTTTATGAAGTAAATTTTAAATTAAAACAATTAACATCAAATTCTACAACAATAAAATTAAAAGCTCTCTTATTTTAATGAAAAAGTTATGGAATAAAATGAAGTCAAATTAATTTTAAATAATATAATTTCAAATCAAAAGTAAAGTAATTTATAAAAGTGATCATCTAAATACTGGTAGGCTGAAATATTAAAGGTCGACATGTATGTAAACTTTTCATTGTAACCTAATTCTAAAGTTCTTTTCCACTCAAGTATGTAAGTACATAATTTAACCTCAATTAGCTTTAAGATATTAAATGTGAAGATCAGATTTGTGATTAAATTCCTTCATGTTGATACCTTTCACTCCAAGGAGTAACCAAAAAATGATTTCTCTTCCTGCAATATAATTACATTCTTAAGCAGAAGGTTGATGAGAGTAAAGAGAGAGATCAACCAGAACATAATATACCCTAGTTAATCTTATGACTTTAGTCCTAAGGATTTAGAGTTACAATGAACAATATTATTGTTCAATGTAACTTGAAATTCAGATTGTGTGGAAAAATTTTATTTAAATCTTTGGAGTGGAAAGGTTAAACATCATAAATATTGTTAATTGAATAAAGTTTCTTTTAAAGATATAAAATCAATAAGTTCATAACATGGTATTGCTTTATTTACTTACAGAAAGGAAAGAGAGGCAAAAAAGCGGCCAGAAAAATAACTGTAATTGTTAGTATATGTCATTGGATATTTTCCTTTGAGATATGCACATACACAACAAACTGCAGTCACTTATATTTAATATTACAAAAACAGGTGCATTATAA